ATTTACTATATAAATATACATAAATACATACATCTTAAAAAGTTATACCAATGTCCAATTCTTGTAAAGTATGAGATTAATATAGGTTATATATTCATTTTTTCAATATGATCAATAACATCTATTTTGACTACTATATTAATGAGTTTTATCTGCTTTCTCATGCCTTCCTGTTATGTTAACTGAGATTTTCTTAAGATTCCATTTAAACTTTACAAAACTGTTCACAGAGTAAATCTCAGGAAATAAGTTTTACTGTTAAGTGTCAAATGGAGAGTTGGAAGGTGGCTGTCATCTCATGTCACAGTGGAAAACTACTATTTTTTTTCTAACTACTTAGCAAAATTTTATTCCATAAAAATCAACCATGTAAATTTATTTACTTGTTTATTCATGCATTTTTTTAAACAAAAAAGGACCATGAGATCCACAGAAGAAGAAAAAGAGAAACTTTATTTCTAGAGGAAGAGAGGGGAAAAAAAGGCAATCTGCTGATTAGAAAAACACTATATCTGAGAAAAACCTGAAAGTGTATGCTCTGAAGAAGGGAAGGGGGGAACCAGTTTTTATGCTTTGCAGGGTCAGCTTTATACACGTATTCAGCAGATTCGGAATTCTATGCTTATGAGGGAAGTCATGCATGTGCATAGTGAGTAAACATACATGCAACATGTGTCCCATGTTCATTTGGGGGTGAAGACTTAGTATTAAAATGAGGTAAAGTTTGGCCCCTGACATCAAGAGTTAATGATAGGGCACAGAGTGACTTACTGCGCAGTCTCTGTAGAATGGACAAAACTAGCTCAGAGATGGCAGTTCTTCTCAGAAGAAAATCCGTGAAGCAGATTCTCTGTCCAGAGCCATAGTGGGCCCTCCAAAATGAGGAGGAGTGTGTTAGTAGCTGGTACGAGCTGGACTTGTTGAAGGTCAATGTAGAATTCCCAGCTAGAGCTGATTTGGTTCTGTCTTCCAAGATCTGGTTTCTGTTTAGTTACAGGAAAGAAAAGCCTCATGGCAGTCAGTGACACACATTTTGTAAGAAGGGGAACCGTGTCTGACCCCTCATCCCTCTACGGCCATCTGGCTCTGTTTGGTGGTTTTAGAGTGTCTCTTTCAGCCACAGCGAGTCCATCTCTGTCTACCTTCTGTGGCATATTTTAACACATCCAACAAATATTTATTGATCTCTTGTGAACTAAAATGAGTATTTAAGCAAAGGAGAAACAATTGGCAATGGGTCTCAAGATTCTTATGAAAAAGGAGCTGCCAGTGAACCAAGAAAATTTGTGGAACTGATCCTTATTAACAGGTCACTAAAAAGACCAGACTACTAAATCCAATGCATCTAAAGCAACCTGCCTTGTTGGTGGGTGCTGTGAAAAATTACTGTCGCCATCACCATATTTTTAACATATTCAACATACATATGAAAAAATAAGCCAAAACCTCTTAAGCAGGGAAATATTCAAGAAGCCTTATACTGAAGTTCTAAGTATGCAGAAAAATACTGCCCATGAGATTTCAATTAATTAATTTAGAATATTGTTGAAACGAGAAAGAAATGATAAAGAAGAATTTTAAAAGTGGAAGAAAGACAGAGATGTGTATATAGTCCACCAAGAATTGCCTGGGATGCCAGTTAGTGAAGCCTACACCCAAGAGTAAATGACTCAGTTTATGTAAGTGAGAACAGAATTTTGGGTCCAGGACCTAAGCCAGAAGAGTTAATTAGCATATAAAAAAGCAAAATTCATATTGCTTCTGATAAGACTATGATTTCTGATTGATTATATCCAATAGATCAGAAGCTAAGCTGCTGAAATAAAGAAATTTTAAAAAGGCAGTATCTTTTTTCATTTTTTGTGTGATGCTCAAATCAGTATAATTGGTATATTCATCACTATACAATGTTATTGATTATTGTGGCCCTTTATAAATTCCTCCCTTCTCCCTCTCCCTTTTCCCCTTTCTCAACCCTGGCAAACTCAGTTCTATTTTCTTCTTTAAAATGTTCAGCGTATTATTGTAATTGTTGTATCTTTTTTTTCTTTTTTTGTTTGTTTACTTACTTATTTAGTTAGTTAGTTAGCTCCCACATATAAGTGAGGATGTGTGGTAATTCTTTTTCTGTGCCTGGCTTATTTCACTTAACATAAGTGAAATATGTTCACTTATTTCATCTATGTTACTGTAAATGACAGTATTTCATTCTTTTTTATGGCAAAGTAGTATTCCATCATACAAATAGGTACCACTCATCTGATGATGGGCATTTAGATTGATTCCAACTCATGGATATTGTTAGTAAAGCTGCAATAACCTGGAGTACAGATGCCCCTTCAACACGATGATTTCCATTTCTTTGGGTATATAAAATATAATTGCTGGCTCATATTGTAGTTCTATATGTAGTTGTTTGAGGAACCTCCATACCATTTTCCATAATGGCTGCACTAATTTACAGTTCCACCAACTGTGCAGGAAGGTTCCCCTTTCTCTGCATTCTCACCAGCGTTTATTATTTTCTGTCTTTTTGATGATAACCAGTCTAACTGGAGTGAGATGATATCTCAGTGTGGTTTTGATTTGCATTTCCTGGATGCTGAGTGATGTTGAGAATTATTTCATATGTCTGTTGGCAATTCGTATATTTTCCTTTGAGAAATGCCTATTCAGCTTCCTTGCCCATTTTTTAATTGGGCCACTTGTTCTTTTACTGTTAAGTTGTTTGAGTTCCTTGTATATTCTGCATATTAATCCTTTGTCGGATGCACATTTTGCAAATATTTTCTCCCACTCTGTTGGTTGTCTTTTTGCTCTGTTGTTTCTTTTACTGTGCAGAAGCTTTTTAGTTTGATATAATACCCCAAATAGCCAAAGCAATTCTAAGAAAATAAATAAATAAATAAATAAAATAAAGCCAGAAGCATAATGCTACCTGACTGTGAATTACACTACAAATCTATAGTGAACAAAATGGCATAGTACTGGTATAAAAGCAGACATGGAACAATGAAACAGAATAGAGAACCCAGAAATCACCCATATCCCTAGAGCCAATTCATTTTTGACAAAGGCACCAAGAAAACACCCTGAGGAAAAGACCTCTTGGATAAGTGGTACTGAGCGAATGTGACGTCCATATGTAGAAGAATGAAAATAGACCTATACCTCTCACCATATACCAAAATCAACTCAAAATGGATTAAATAATTAAATATATGTCCTGAAACAATAAAACTCCTAGAAGAAAACATAGGGGAAACACTTCAGAAAGTAGGACTGGCCAAAGACTTTATGAATATGACCCCAAATCACAGGCAACAAAAGGAAAAATAAACAAAAGACAGTGTCTTCAATAGGATTAAAGTTTATTTCTCTCACACATAATCTAAAGACGATTGGTCCATATCAGTGGGGTACTATGTTTCTTGTGATCATTCAAGAATACAGTTTTCTTCTGTCTTACCTATCCAGCTTCCTCTAAGATGTGGCTTTCTTCTGCACGGCCAAAAGCAGGTTAAAGCCACATGAAGGGGGAAAAGATGAAGTCCAGGGATTCTGTTGTGCCCATCACTTCCATCTGCATTTCCGTGGTCAGAACTTATTCACACGGCCACATCTCGGTCTAGATAAAAGCGACTGGGAAATGTGATTTCCATTTGCATCGACATGTGTGCAAAGGGTTTTACTGCCAAAAGAAAACAGAGAGCAGATACTAGGGACAATTAATAATGCCTGCCTCTCATATCATTCCTTGAAGCAGGATCTTGAATAGAAGTAATAATTCAACAAAGTCAGAATGGGAGAACAAGTAAATCCAAAACTTTGCTTCCAGATTTTGAAATGAACTTACATCTTGGAATCAGACAGAGAAAAAAAAGAAAGAAAGAAAGAATGAAGACACTAAATGAACATTAGAAAATTTGAAAATTCCTTTAAGTTCCCATAATTATTTGGTATAATGACTTGCTGAAATTTGGGTATATTACAATAACTGCTTTTTGAATACTTATTTTTTTCTATTTTACTTTTATTAAGCTTATCACTAGCTCCTAAATTCTAAAATGTTTTAAAAAACTTTCCAAAGGGGAAAAAAAGTCACTCTTACCTGGTGAATCAACTCCATAAAACTTGTAACACATGGTATTCATACTGAGTTCACTTTAACACGTATTTTAATATGTGTCATGCTGATCATGTATATGTAGTTAACTTTCTGGAAAAAAAGGAAAAAAGAAGGCACAGACATTATAACTGATTAGATGTTAGTGCAGTCATACAGAGCTAGTCTTTTTTGGGGGGCGGGGAGAGGCCTGCATATTATCTCTACATGAATATAAATAAACCACTTTAATTAGAGATCATTTTGTCCTTATGAAAGGGAATAACTGAAAACCTAGAGAGGAGGTTTCGTGTCTTATACTGCCAGTCTTCTGTTTGGGTGGGAATGGTAATGATGAAAGCATCATCTGCCTGGTCTCAAGCACATTCTGTTCAATTCAACAAATATTTAACTCCTGTTCTGTACATGGCATCATTATTGGTGTCATTAATTAATAATTTATGACCTCAGCTTTTGACTAAATGAAAAGAGTGATGTGAACATCCTTCAGTCTCTGGTGAAAGTAATTTTTCAGATTCAAATGTAGCAACAAATATGTTTATTTTTCCCCCTCTGGATGAAGCAACTTATCATGTAGTGTCACAGACCTAATATACGAATAAAAACAACAGCTGACTTTCATGTCACCTCCTGTTGCTCTCAAGACCAGTAGACAGGAAAAATGAAAGTTTCTGGCTAAGGAGAGGTTTTACAATGTAGAGGTTTTCCTCACTCCAAGGAGATTAGGGTTCACACAGACATCTGGGAAGGGGTGGTGTGCGTTGTTCTCAGAAAGTGGAATCCTTTTTTATCAGGCCAGAGAAAAGAAAGAAATTCTATCCATGGTCCCCACCATGTGCAGGAGAAACTTAAGTGATCAATGCATTTATCTGATTGCTCCATGCTGATCCAGAGAGAACCCACCAACATGTCCCTGCAAGTCATGGCCAGGTTCCCTTATAAGGCCAGTTGGGTTTAGTCTGATTCTTAATCAGAGAGTCCATACAGGAGGAGCTGGACTGAAGATGACCGGGTGTTTAGCATTCCGGCTGTGTAAGTACACACAGGGAGGCCAGGTATTTATGCCTGGTCCTCAAGCAAACATAACTCACCAATCTTAAGCAGAAACTATAATCATAGCTAATAATTACCCTACATGATTACTAAAAATATATCATTTGTTTCTAAGTACATGCAATAATAATGTAAAGAGTTTTCATTTATCAACTTTATATTTGAGGCACACTGGTTTTAATTATTAGGGGGAAGATCTGGAAAGCAGATACAAAAAGTCTCATTATGAAATGGCATTTGCCTGGAAGTCTCTAAGCTCCAGAGGTGATGGTACCCAAGACCCTTTACTAGAACTTAACTGAACTTAATCAAAGAGAATCTTTTACATCATATTTTATGTTAAGACTTCTTAAGTAAGCTATAAATATAAAAACCATTATTACCTAAACTTAAGAGAAGCAGCAAAATATTTACAATAATGCAATTATGCTAACAAAAAGATTTGTTTTTGTATTTTGACTTGATGTACATCTTAAATTAAAATTAGTTTACAAAACTGAAAAAGTGGAAAAGATATGCCCTGTTCACCCATCCACCCAGATCCCTCCCAAGAAGCAAAATAGTGCACATTTCCAGAGATATTCAATACATAAGCAAGTCAATCAGAGACATAAATGTTCTTGTGTACAGGTGATAGAATACTACATGCAGACAGAGGAACTGTAGAATAGGCATTGTTTAATGCCTTGCTATTTTTGTCTCTTAGTAGTCTACCTGTATATTATTCCATTGCAAACCTATCAGCATGTACTTTATCAGTCCCCTTTTGATGGACATACAGGGTATTTTCCAAATTTTCGCTAGTTCAACACAATGTTTCAATTAATAGTCTTGAGTCAATATAATTTTACTGATGTATAGTAAATAATATTAGCAAAAAATTCCTAAGAGTAGAGTGCTGGAGTAAGGAGTTTTTTACTTGGGGTTCAGTTAGTGACAATTTGTCCTTCATGGCTGTTGTAACAATTTTTACATCCTATTACAAATCAATGAGAGAAGCTCTTTTCTCACAACCCCACTAGCACAATTTGTTAGCAAACATTTTGACTGTTGCCAACCAGAGAAGTAAAGATAGCATGTTTTAAAAATACCCATGTTGATTTATTTAAATAAGAGCAAAATTGCATATCTAATGCATATGTAAGTTATTTTAATTACTTTTCTGTAAACTGTTCATAGTCTTTGTCATTTTTCTATTATACTATTATTATTTTCATTGTGTTCTATTGTATGGTAAGAGCAATCCCTTTGCCTGCAATATGAGTTGCAAATACATTTACCTTACTTTCTTGCTTTGATTTTAACCTTGTTTTTGGTTATTTAATGTGGATATTTTTACTTAAAGTAATATAATTCAAATTTTTATCCATCTTTTGCTTTATGGCTTAAGGATTTGTGTTATATTTAGAAAGACCTTCTCTAATCATGAGATTATTTTTTAACTTTGCCATGGTTACTTATGCTACTTTTATATTTTCATATATATTTTTATTCCTTAAGTACAGTCAAAATTAATTTTGAAGTAAGAGGTGTAGATGCAACTCTTATCATTTTGAGTTAGTTATCCAGTTGTTACATCATTACTATTGATAAACTATCTTGTTGAAATATCTTTACTATCTTTCCTATGTATTAAACACCTGTATGACTTGAATCTGTTTTTGGACTCATTAGTCTGTTCCACTGATCATCTGATGGCTACAAGCAAACTAGACAGTGTACTGTTAGGATTCTGTGATGTAAGGTGGTTAATAAGCTGATCTTCTATTTATGGATTAACAAAAAAGAACAAAAGTACGGGGGCAACACTTAGGGCTGCGATCCGTTGCTGGACACGGAAAAAGACAAAAAAAAAATTAAATAAATAAATAAAAATAAAAATACCCATATTGATTTATTTAAATAAGAGCAAAATTGCATATCTAATGCATATGTAAGTTATTTTAATTACTTTTCTGTAAACTGTTCATAGTCTTTGTCATTTTTCTATTATACTATTATTATTTTCATTGTGTTCTATTGTATGGTAAGAGCAATCCCTTTGCCTGCAATATGAGTTGCAAATACATTTACCTTACTTTCTTGCTTTGATTTTAACCTTGTTTTTGGTTATTTAATGTGGATATTTTTACTTAAAGTAATATAATTCAAATTTTTATCCATCTTTTGCTTTATGGGTTAAGGATTTGTGTTATATTTAGAAAGACCTTCTCTAATCATGAGATTATTTTTTAACTTTGCCATGGTTACTTATGCTACTTTTATATTTTCATATATATTTTTATTCCTTAAGTACAGTCAAAATTAATTTTGAAGTAAGAGGTGTAGAGGCAACTCTTATCATTTTGAGTTAGTTATCCAGTTGTTACATCATTACTATTGATAAACTATCTTGTTGAAATATCTTTACTATCTTTCCTATGTATTAAACACCTGTATGACTTGAATCTGTTTTTGGACTCATTAGTCTGTTCCACTGATCATCTGATGGCTACAAGCAAACTAGACAGTGTACTGTTAGGATTCTGTGATGTAAGGTGGTTAATAAGCTGATCTTCTATTTATGGATTAACAAAAAAGAACAAATATAATATGATTGCATTTGGCAAAAATGGAAACTATATTTTATGGACATGAAATCAAAATTTGCTCTCATGTAAAATGTGAAGGTTGAAGATGACAGTTATAGTCATTTTGAGCTCTAATGTTCTTTGTTTCTATAATAATTTATCAAATTATTTGGGGGCTGTTGCTTTAGAAATAAGCTTTAATTTGTCCACCAAATAGAGTTTTGTTGTATCTCAGGTATATTGAGACTAGTTTAGCTCTGTTCCACGTCTGGAAGAAACATCACTTGACCTTGCTTCTTTTACTTTTCTTTCGCACTTCAGGAAAGAAAACAACAACAACAACCCCCCCCCCCACAAAAAAAAAAAAAAAACAAATAGTGCTAGCATCCTGGTAGAAATAGCACTAGCACCCTAGTACCCATAGGGTAGGAAGAAAACTGAAGTGGACATTTGACTGTGAATGTTCCCTTCTCTGAGCAGGAAAGAAATAGGTCTCTGGAGCACTGTGAGAACATGCGTAGAGTGACCCAAAACAGGAGGAAAACAAGGCACAAGGAACTATGAGAAAGCTGAGTGCTAGGGAGATTCATTTTGGTGAAGGGAGATTAGGCCCTATGATGTGGAAAAGCAGCAGAAAATATAACCGCACGTTGATGAAGGAGGTGACAGTCAAGAAAAGAGAGAAAATGAAATATTCTTTTACTAAGGAGTTGGAGGCCACTTAAAAACTGATTCTTAAAACAGTCTGAAACACTGTGTGAAGCACTTGTACTGAGAGTGGTTTGTGTATCTGTGTGTGTGTGTATTTATGGAAAGAACTGGAGTACAAGGTAGAAGGTGGCTTCCTGTTGCCTCAAGTGTCCAGGAAGACCTAAGTGCTCTGTGCTGAAAGTATGCCTGTCAATAGAATTCACCACTGTAGGTGAGATAACTGTTTTATACATTTATAGACCTTCCAGTCTAAGAATTAAGTAAGTCAAAAAAAAAAAAAAATTTGGGGAGTAGCAACCAGTTCATGTATGTATATATTCTTGTATAGAAGCTCTATCCCTCTAATGAAAAAGGACTGTGGTATACAATTGCAGTATCTACTAACTTACACAGTAAAAATAAATATGTATATGACTTGAAA